AGAAAAACGACTATTTGCATAATTTGGAAAGGTAGTCATCCTTGAATCCTGACTAATAATAATAATAGCGGCGTTTTCACTCTTCACAGGCGTTTCAGAACTCCATGCAATGCCCTCAAATCCCATGACAAGTTCGACTCATACTCGAGATGATGACCGTACCCCCCCCCCGTCCTCCACGACCCCCCTCCCCCAGTAGAGCATTCTAGTTTCCCATGTTATCAGCATTTTGAGGAAAGTTCACACTCAGCATAATAAGCATGTCTATGCATTAACTTGGTGATTTCAAGCGATATTGACACACAGCATTAGGCGCAGCACAAACACTTCTTTCACAACAACTACTTTTTAACTGGGGTGTGCAATAGACTTACCTCCACGTGGTGCACCCTGGACAACGTATACTCATACGGCAAAAAGGTCTATTAACAGGCAGTTGACTACTTCCACAGTACTCACCTCACCTTTATCCACTTTTGTGTCTGTCTCTTTTGCATCTTTGAAACTCTCTTCTGTTCCCCCTCTCCCTCTCGACTTGTTTCACTTTGATGTTCCCCCTCCTCTGCGAAGCCTGAAGTCAACTAAATGGCTAATGATAACTTTCACAACGCCTGCCATTAGATATAAACTATTTTTTAACTACTTTATCGAGATTTAGTAGGTTACTGAGCCAGCCCCTCGCATAAGAGATCACCTTCCTCGCAGTTTTAGCTGAAGGTTCTAAAACGCTACTTCGTTTTCACCGGACAAATCTAGTCGCGATCCCAATGCACACCATCGATTGGAGGGAGACGGGAAGGCAAGAATAGGCCTGTTCTTCAAAATTTTCCAACAATCTCAGAAGTGCCAAAGCAATATAGTAAAGAAGCTCAGTATTCCTTTGATCTACATCATTACGCCATCTCATCTTCTTATAAACCGAGACACATGAGTATTGGGTCACAGTAAGCTGCATACTTATACCACAGATATTTGACGAAAGAAAAGTCAATCCAAGTTGACAGACGTAGTTTAGGACTCTTCACAACATTAACACAGAAGCAGATTTTCTTGACAGAAGAAGGAGAAGAATAAGAAGTTAGGGAGAAGTGGCGAGATGAAAATGAGATAAATAGAAAGACGACATGGAAGCGATACACGAGTCATGGGGGTGGGAGATCACATTAAAGCCCCAGTCATTTCTCATATGGTTGCGCGGGTTTTTCGGAGGAGGTAATAGGTGACTGGACGCTGTCGAGTGCTGATCGAACGTTGCTCGCGAAGCGTCGCAATATGGAGGCTCCACCAGAGGCGTTCTTTTCATCTAAAGTTCGGACATAGCATAGAGTTCACAATGAAGTTGGCCAGACTGAATAACATGTATGAATAGATTAAGAAGAGCTTTAGATCATTGCAATTAATCACAAAGAGCTCCCTTACAGATCTGATGATAAGCCCGTCTACTGATATTCAAATTTTATTACCTATTATAATGGGAGGGGGGGGGGGGGGGGGGGGAAGAGTGCACGAGGAAGACGTCTAGGTGGGAACGAAAAGAATAGAGGAAAAGGAAGATTTGATTTTCATACCAAGTCATTTGACAATACTTTTTCTTTCAGGAAATAGGCCTATTTATTGGTTAATCAAAAACAATGGAATCGTGGTGCTTGCCTTCATTTGGTTTGAAGAAAATTCAAATCGAGAAGAGTGAAGTTAAAATTAATTTAAGGTATTACTTTCCATTGTGATGCTTACTTATTTGGTTTGAGAACTAAGTCCCTGTCTTGCCAATTTAAGTATTTGTGAACTAATACATGCTTCTAATTGCATAAAGGTGTTGTTGCCTACGGTGATGATAAAATAAAAAAATAAATTAAAATTAAATTGCACAAGACACAAATTGAGGCAATTAAAAAAGTGAGTGAATAGCAACAAAGCCATCAGCAAGCAGGAGAGTGTAAACTAACGTCATTTATGGCCCCGTACAATCGAACGTCTGAAAATTGAAAGCAATTCTTACCCCTCCAATCATAGACAACCGACACAGCAGAGTTAACGATAACATACACACTACTGAATATTAATAAGTAGAAGAAGATTAATGAAAAAGAGCACATGCACAGAAATTACTTTTGAGACGCGTTCGAAGACGGAAAGTCTATTTAAAGAGACAGAGGCCAAAGGGTCAAAGAACTCACTGCCAATGTGGTTAGGATTTATTGTTAGAACTTACTGCCTAATTTCATCAGACCACTTAGCATCCTTCGACCATGATCAACGGCGATGTTTCCAAACCTAAAAAGAAGAGAAAAGGCATGAAAGCAGACAAAAGTCGTAAGAGGAGAGAGGGGGGGGGGGGTTAGAGCACTATGTTCTCAATAGATCTCTGAGGTAGGAGATAACTCAATAAAGTAAGCGAACAAACAAGCAGCTAGGCACTCACCGAGATAGCTTAGCTGTGAAATGCTTGCTGGAATGGAATAAGCAAATAGGTTACGGCCTTAACGCCTCTCTCTCTCGCGCCCTCTCTCTCACTTTTCATAGCAGAATGTAAGTCATGTGGGAATTAAGAGTAGTTGTGGGCGCAAATACACGCAACTTACTGCTTGAGATTGTTGACAATCTGATCGGTTGGCTCGGAGGAGGGGAAATTTCTCCCGGGATGAATGAGGGGGCAGCCAACGGCGTAGATATCTCGAGTCGGTTGTGGCGAGGTGGGATTCTGTAGAGTGAGTCAGAAGTATACTTACTATTGGAGATAAGGAATAGGACCTTCGTGAGGGACCTCCCCCCTATTAGGCAACACTCTTTGGGGAGGGGGGGGGGGTTGAATTCACTGAATTGCCTTTAGTTTCTTTTGGTATGCACTTTGATGGGGTTAGAATGTCAATAGAAACGGTGAAGCGGAACCAGAAGCCATCCCCCCACCCCTATAGGATGGAATTCAGACGTCCAACGAAGGGAAATAAAGGTGAGCATTAAGAGATAGCTGTTTTCTGAGGTAAAGCACAGAGGACATCAAATTGAAGAAACCCGTTGCCTGACATATGGCATAAGCATGGGAGGTATAACAATTAAATACATTAAATGCCGTGGTTGTGTGTGTGTGTGTGTGTGTGTGTGTGGGTGTGTGTGTGGGGGTGTGTGCGTAAATGCTAAAAAAGCATGTCCTTACCAAGGTACTTCACGCAACCACCACCCTTGAACAGGTTTCAACAGGCCTAACTTCGGTTAACCCGACGCAGTACCAGGAGCCACCAGCACCACAGACAAAAGTTAAGAGGATATCTTTAGGCTAGAACATTTCTTTTCTACAATTATCGAAGGCATCTTACGTCCAATGCACTTGGCACACATTAAACAACAACGACAACGACAAAAAAGAATGTCCTTCAAAATTATCGACTAGGATGCTTAAAAAAATTAAGTAGGTAATATCCCAACCCCAAAGTGTCCCATCCATTTCAACCCACACGATGGCGACCTTCACATGCAATCAGGGCAATTGAAAGAGTGAGGGGGTCAAAGAGCGTCGTGAGAAGTAGTCTCATGGAAAGAAATACCCGAGGCAACCTCTACAGCGAATCAAGGTGAGGATGATAATGTGAGTTGAAAGAGGACAATAGAGTCCTGTGATGGGAATAACATCACTATTGAAATATCTATACAAAATATTTCCCTATTTATAGTCTGTCTAGATTCTCATTCGTGTGATTAAATTGACAAAAAATATAATGAACTATGAGTGTCATTCAATTTCTTAAGTAAATGAAATCGAAGTATATAAGGTCACCCAAAGTAATTCCCCCCCCCCCCCATAAAAAATGGGGAAGTCAGAGAAACCTCGCCCCATCAAATCGATCTTAATAGGCAGAATCAAAGATGCCAAACAATCAGCTGTGACATTTGGTCGCCCAGTGACAGTTGTGAAAGGCCACCCACCAAATCGCCCATGAGATGCCTTTAATGCACTCAGCACAAACACTCTAGCAGCCTGTACAGGTACAGGACATGATGGGAGTTGTATCAACAATCGCATTGTCACTACTCACGGTCATCTTCATTCGGTCATCATGCCCATCCGCATTCCTCGGCTCAACTGGTTGTGAAGGCGTCTTGCCATTCATGACCTCGGTAGCTGCCGGCGTCGCCTCAAGTCCCTTCTGCTCCTCCTCCTCCTCAGCAATCTGCTGCATCACCGAGGGCAGGACATATTGACTTCGCCAGGCCAAAAAGTTGTGAGTGGTGCGGAAACAGGACACAAAGTTGAAATTAAAGTCATTCATTTGACCACCTTCGACAGAAAAAGGGAAAATAATCAACACAAATCAATCAGTATATAGATCTACGATCGATTCACAAGCTACTATTCTATACCATACATATTCTCCCTAATTATTAAAAAAAACGGGCCCCCCCCCCCAAAGCGCGCCCCATAATGGGGATTAATTTGCAGCCCACAAAGGTCCACTAAGTGACCAGTCTAGGGAACATTTGTTTTTCAAATGCCAGGGGTTTTGATAGTTATCATTACGTAAGTCTATCGCACACCCCGTCTAGAGAACATAGAAGTGGTTGGCAGGTCAAGCAGGTATGTAGGAGTCCTTTGGATGGGACGACGCGCATTATGGTATTTCATTTCGAACAGTGTAGCTGGTAATTGTAAACATTTTGAAGGAACAATTCACATCGGAATACGCACGTGGCAAGTGTTCACAAAGATTAAAAAAGTTTGCTGGATGGCTTCTGTTAAGCGGGCGCACAATTGACGTTGAGTGAAAGGGGGGTGGGCGATAGACTTACTTCCACGTGGTGAACCATGGCCAATGTATACTCATAAATCGGCAGTTGACTTCTCACTTCAAACTACCATGACCCCACTGTACGTCATATTCCACAACTTTCACAGTACTCACCTTACCCTTTTCTCTGCCCTTGTGTCTGTCTGTCTCTTTTATATCTGTGAATCACTCTTCTGTCGCCCCCTTCCCCCCCCCCTCAATTTTTTGTGACTTTGATATCCCCCCCTCCCCTCTGTGAAGCCCGAAGTCAACTAAGGGGCCAATGATAACTATCACAAAGCCTGCCACTTGCTATATATATATAAATCATTGTTTTAGCTAGCGCATTGCTTACCTCTGCCTTCGGAAGTGAGAAGAAGTGATTTGATGTAAACGGAAAACTGATCTCGAATCCATTTCTCCAGGTCTCTCAGCTCTGAAGCGAAATAAGCAAACGCAAAACTAATAAGAATAATACACACACGCACACACACATACGCACGCACACACACACACGCACGCACGCACAAAGTTGAAAAATAAGTGCATTTATCCAAAGCCTAAAACTTCCATTTCGAATTAATTCAATTTGTAAAATAATGACGAATTGGTATCCTACTTTCGTTTTGAGGGAGACAGAGTCCAGTAGGTACTCTGCAGTGTTGCCTCTCCAACTCTCAATCACTAATCTACTCATTATAGGATACAAAAGAAGAACTGAAAGATGTTCTTTTTTCTTCAACGAACCCGGAAATTTCGTCAGAACTTCGGCCTCCGCAAGCTGACGAGGAGTAATCTCTTCGGACATTGCAGGTGCCGGGGGTTGTACACCGGTATCCACTTCTTTCGCCGCTTTGGCTGAGAACCAAAGTTCAGCTGTATTCACCAAATGATCGATGAACACCCGATCGAATCTACTGAGTTGGATAGCCCGGTTCAGTGGCAAGGGCAAATCCCTCAATCTAGCCCCAGGCTCCGTCGAAGGCGGGCATATTCGAATTGTGGACTGATGACGATTCTAAAAGGCAAATGTCGTGCATTACTTATAGAAAGGAGGTTAAGGCAATTAGAGGCAACACTGACAACATTCAATACGATTCAAGGCGGAAGAAAGAAGCAAAGA